ATAATGCTTGGGTCTTTAGGAAAAGCAATAACTAATTGTGAGATAGGGAATAATTTAATATAGCAAGTAGAATATAAAAAAATAAAGAATTGATGGCGATAACATACGCACATTTACTTTAATAAAGTTCTTCAAATTTCAATGTCTTGTTATCAATTTAATTGTTGAGACAGGAAAAAAATAAGAATCAAGATTAAAAATTAAAAATTTCGTAATTGAAAAAAAACTTTTTACTTTCTCTCTTTTAATAAAAGGATCATCGACCCGATCCAATTTAAATTCACTTGACTATCATAGTAAATGCTCGAATTTAGTTTGATTGAAATATTAAAAGAAAATGGTAGTGAGCGTAAATTAAAAGAATGTTAAAAAAATGATCTTTTGGGTAAGCAAAAGTCAATTTTGACCAAGTTCGGACAAGGTTTGTCTGGATCGATGTTTCATTCGACCATGATTTGTTCTCTTTAAGATCAAAGCTTGTTTGGTTGGGTTTGAAATTGATGACACTAACAAAGGCGAAGGAAAAATAAATAAAAAAAATAGTACATTATTAAGCAATGTCAACATGAATAAAACCTGAAAATTTAAAGCTCTAAGACTAAAATGGATCCAATTGATTTATGGTAATAATAATAATAATAATATAATGATAAAAAAAATATCATTTCATGTCAACTTCGATAATTAATAGTGTGAGTGGGACGAAGAAGGATTTAATTGTATAAACTTAAATTTAGAAGTTAAATGCTGAGAGATCAGAAAGGTCAATTTGTTCATGGACTCTAATTTCTCAATTCTCACCAATTTGACAAAAAAAATGGTGGATGAATGTCTCACATTAATTTCTTTGTGGAATGTTGAAAGACCCAAAGCCAAAACCTTAGGAAGATAAAAATATGAACACAAAAATCTAGGGGCGTAAATGCCACTTGCCATAAATTTTGATGAAAACGGTTTTCCAAATTGCCAAAATGGCTTTCGGCATTGGTTGGTTTGGTGGTGACTGCAGGCAAAGACTATAATATGATTAAAATAAGCACGGGGGAATGTGAGGGGGCAGTCGCTGCCGCCATCACCTAAGAAGCCACGTCACCAATCTTCGACTTGTTCCCACAAGTTGCCCGACTTCACGTGTGACGTGATAATAAAATGAAAATTCATTACATGTGGGATTTGACTCTTCAAACCATGATAGCCCAGTTTCCACGTGGCAATAAAGTGGAGAATAGTTGGCATTGGTGGTGCTTTTTTTTTTTTTATCATTTTTTGCTAAAAAATTCAAAAGTACATTTGAAAAAATAATTTAATATTTATTGAGCTGATAATATTGTGATTCTACTGTTATTAATTACCTACATTATAAATTGATGTACGTTCTAATTATTTACCTATTCTAATTAATTTTAATTTTTATTTTTACACTTTTCTTTGATGTCAAAGTATGTTTTGAAAAATCAAAAAATAAATAATAAATAATAAAAGAAAAATAAGCAACAATAAGAAAGAGTTTTAATTTTTTTACTTCTATTTTAATTATATTTATACAATTATTATTTAAAAGTGATTATTTATCCATCTATCTATTCATTTATATATATGCATATGTGCTACTTTGATAATATAAAAATGTTTTCCTAATTATAAATAAAGTTACTGTATGTTTATTGATTATTTGACTAAATAAAGATATTCAAATATAATTATGATTTTTAGAGACAAAAATAACAAGACCAGATTTTGGTGAGGTATTTTTTTATATATCATACCTCTTCTATTCCTTTGTTGCACAGTTTTAAATAGGATAATATCTAAAAAAATTTTAAATTATTTTAAAAATTTTAAATAAATTTTTATACTTTTACTTTATTTAATTAAATTTTTATATTTTTATTTTAAATAAAAAAGTTATTATATTTTTATTTTAAATCAATTAAGTATTATAATTAATAATTAATATAATAAAAATACTATTTATTATGTTATATTGCGTGTAGCTGATTTCACGTATTAACATATCATAATTGATGATGATATAATATACTGACATATCATAACTAATGATAATGTGATATGTTAATTTGACATGATAATAAAATCATATGATAGTTTTTATCTTTCACATTAACATTATTTTAACTTCAAGTGATTTGATTAATCATAATTAATCAATCATAAATATTTATTTGATTTAAAATAATAATATAAATATTTAATTAAATATAATAAAAATAAAAAATATTTAAATTTTTATAAATAATTTAAAATTTTATTTAAATACTACATCATTTTAAATAAATTTTTTTTTAAAAAAAGATGAAGAATATTTTTATCTAAAACAACCTTTGAGATAAAGCCGAAAGCCAACTTTCATGTTCACCTAAACATTGGGTGGCTGGTTTTGAGTTGGAAAAGAAAGGTCACGTGGCTTCCTATGGCCTCGAGTTTGGAGGGCGATTGTTGGAGTGACGGCCCGTCACCAATGACCATTCCCCCGATAAGCACATGACAATGCTTTCAACCGAGGAACTGCTATATGAATGTTCTCGCCTTGTGGGCTATCGTGCTCAGTTTTTGTCCTAGAGGTGTTCACATACGGGGCTATCCTTTTAGTTTCGTGGGTCCGGCTTCCATCATGAGTCGACTTTGGATATAGGCAGGGCTCCTTTAACTTATTTAATTAGCAAAATATTATAGTTTTATTAATTTCATATAGAAAATACATTATTATTTTAAATAATAAAATAAATAGTTAAAAAGAGCAAGTTGAGTAGAATGTAGATTTGACGTTTTGAAAAAAAAAAGGCTTGACAGGATTAGCTTGGGTCCATGTACATCTCTACGATTCTTATCCATTGTTTTCTCTTTCAACTTTTTATTGTCAAATTAATTTTAATTTATGATATTTCATATGTCTTGATTAAAATCCAAATATCAAATTATATAATGCTTATTTTGTTAAATTAAGCATCCAAAGAAATGATCATGAAGCCCCAAAACATTTCTGTCTTATGTATAGCTCCTTTTTTGCCCTTCTAATGAAACAAAATTATTCACAACTGTTGTTGATCTAAATGCCCTGTTAAATGCAACTATTATGCATTCAAATTGTTGAATTTTATTGCCATAAGCCGAGATTAATAGTAGATAATTAATTTAATATGAGATAGATAATCATATTCTAGAATTAAAATAGGTAATCGTAAAAAACTATAGACTTACAAAACGTGGAGGAGTTATCAGTTCAAATGGTGGTCAATATGGATGATCCCCTCACAATTTATTGTCATCTTCACTTAATTATTAAATAATTGTACTTTGGTAGAAATTTAATGATCTTACATGGTACTGATCTTAAATCATCAAAAGTGATTAGGTATTTGTACCTAGGGATGATTTATTTTTCGTTTAAAAGAGTAATAACAACATTTTACACCAAGATGGAGTGTTTCGTAAAATCAATTCTGAATATTTTTATCCTTGTAACGTGTGAAAAAAAAAATACTAGTTCCTTCTAAAAAAAAAAAAATAATATTTACATAACAAGTTTATTTCTTTGAAAAATCTTTTTGTAATCGACTCAAAGGGTATTACATATTTTTCATTTTTTATTTTTGGTTACGAATGTACTTTTTGTTTTGGTAACAAATTCATTTTTATTTGATAAATTATTTTCATTTTTCTATCAAAGGTTTTTCATTTAATTTAAAAAGGTTGAGAGTTAGTTTATCAAAGATATATATATATATATATATCATATTTATTGATTAATTTGATTAACTATAACTTATTTAAGAAATGAAATATTAATATTTCATAAATTCGCACGTTAATAAAATATTAAAATTTCTATTCAAAAAATTATTAAAATTATTAATTCATAATTTTGAAATTAAATCTTAAAATTAAAAAGTGCATAATTTCCTATCCTAACCAACAAATATTTAATCTTTAAATTTGTTGGATATTCATTGTAATAGAATGTGCACATTCTAAATCAATTAAGAAAAGTTACACGTTGGAATATTTAATTTAACGATAAATAAATATAGTATTATTTAAAATTTATTAATTTATTTAATTATAAAAAAAATAAAGAGTTGTTTTATAAAAAGGAGTCGAAAAGTGTTAGAGAGGTTTTGCTTTGGCATTCCCAACACGCAATCACGTTAGGTTTGCCTCAACCTCAAGAAGTAGGATTTAACAATTTGGAAGGCAACGAGGAGTGCTTGTTTGTTTGTTTCTAGGGAAAAACCAAAAGATTTTGAAAGGCGGAGTTTTGCCATTACAGAAGTTGTCCTCTTGTGTTTGGGTATGAGGCAACCTTCTTGGTTTTCCCCTCATTTTTTGGTCTGTTTACAATGTCAACATAGAATCCACGCATTGACTTTCTGAATTCTAAGATGACATGATTATTCTGTACATCGTTTTCAACCATGTTTCCTCTTCAAAGTTCAATACCACACGAAAGAAATATGGGTTTTTCTTCATCCGTCGTCACAGTTCAAAGTAGAAAACTGACGATTGAGGAGGACGAGGACGCCCAACACAGTGTGTTCATATAAAAATGACCATGAAAAATTGGGTACGAAGGGCGAAGGGTGAAAGCAATGCTGGCGTATTGACTGATCAACACATGCCATCAAAGTGAAGAATTCATAGGAGAATAAACAGCCTGACTCGGATTATAAATTCTATACATTCAAAGTCAAGCAACATGTTTTTTAAGATGAGCGTAACTTGAAAAACAATTTTCTGATGCAAGGAAGAACATACGACCCCTGCACAGACATTCTTGACAAACAAAAGCGTGCTTAAACCAAATTTAGACTGAAAATATTAATTGCAGTCAATATAACATATAACAATTTCTACGGTAGTAATAGTAAGTAAACACATGAGAGAGACAGAAGTAGCTCAACCAGAAATGGACGGTATATCGATACGTAAAATTCCAGTATAGTAGTTCGGTCTTCCATCTTAGTTTCAACTTTCGTGCAAAGGAAGTAATACTAAGAAAATATATTTATCATACATTTTATGTATTTTTATATCATTTAGAGAAATTAGATACATAAATGCCAGCCTTTCAACCAGCCCTGGGTTTTGAATTCCATGCCATGAATCGGCTTCTACTTCTAGTTTTCTACGGGTGGAGCCTAGTTTGGGCAAAGACTTTTGTAGTAATTGTTACTCAAAAATCCAGTCTGGTCCATGGACACCTCTAATTCTATTAATCTTAACGAGGAGAAACCGGCTTTCATGTACAATATGGGAAAAGACAAGACAACCCTCCACTATCATGTTTACATGCTTCAGTTTGTATACAGATTCTTGTCTCGATCCCAGCTTTCTGTTCGGCCTCCTTTCTTCCTTCAATAAACTTCTCTCTACTACCTTCCTTACTGGGAGCTCCCGCTGCTACCAGTAAGTTCTGTAAACGTATAAGCAAGTACACCTAATCTTGAATTATTCAGAACAATGTAATTGTAAGTAACGTGATTAATGTGATTGCAAGAAAAATAATATTACAATATTTAATAGACAAATAAAGCAATGATTAAAATATAAAAAACATAACATTACAACATTTAGTTTATAAGTATTTTCTTGATAATGTAATGTTAATTTTCACAATTATCTTTATTTATTAAAATATAAATTTAATATACTTAAAATTTATTATTATTAATTTTTATATAATATCATCTCTTAAATATATTTTTAATATCATATATTTTATTTTTATTTTTTATTATAATCTTATATATTTTATTTTTATTTTTTAATATAATTTCTTATATTATATATTATATTTTAATTTCTTTTACCTATATTATATAAATTTTTAATTTTTCATATTTTATTTTATTTTAATTTCTAATTCTTATATTATATATTTTATTTTAGTTATAACATTACAAAATATTTTTAATAAAATAATAAAATTAAAACGTAAAAATATCTTTAAAAACATTGAAGAGTGTAATGTAATATGATTGCATTAATTTTAGACTATAATCACATTACATATATGATTGCATTGCCATCTTACGTTGCAAGGGTTTGTTACAAAACAAACACTATAATGTAATTTAATTGAATATATTGTAAAAATGTACTCTTACTTCCCTCGTATCAAACGTTATTTTAACTTAATTGGCCTTAATGCCTAAGCATAATTGAGCTTTTGAATTTTACTAATAACATATATACAAATAAAATATCACATTATTCACATATTTACCAATTTATTCTACCTATATAAATTTATAATTTATAATTTTAATTTGCATTTCAAACTCCAACTCATTGCTTGAGCTTGAGTCATGTTTGAACTTGTTGCTCAAGTTGATGATAATTAAATCAAACCGAGTTGAGTTCAAATCACAAACTCAATGAGCCAAATTTAAGTGAAAAAAAAAAGCTTGATAGAGTTTGGGCTCAGCTTTGATCTTCACTTGTAGTCAAGCCTAGCTCAACCTTTGCATTAGAATAACTTAGCTAGGCTTGCTCACACCCCAAGCCTCCAACACACCCTCCTTACTTTTCGTCATGTGCACCATTTGGTTCATACGCTAAGATTGCCTATACCTCCATTCTCAGCTCTCTATTCTTCATTCCATCACCCAAGTACAACCCCACCTTGTCTCCTTAACAGATTCCGGCAAAGAAGGGCTTTTAAGTCAATATAATTATTTTGTGGACGGTCATACCAGTAAAGAGGCAGCTGTCCTAAGAGATCTAATGTTCTGTTAGGCAATTAATAATAACTAGGTCCTATTCCTCATCTCCAAATAAGAAATATGGCTATTAGGAAATTCCAACTGAAACCTATGCACTAGAAATAGATATAAAATCATCTATATCAATAAGTCATGGGTTACAGTAAAGCCAGCATGCCACTGGTAGTCTACCGCTATCACTGCGGCTAAATACTAAAATACCCAGAATCAGTGAAGCAGATAAAGCACACTTAAAGCTATAAAGAGTTAATCTAAGCAAAACTCAAGCAATTGAGATACACTTCAAGCTCATTCAGAGTTCAGATAACAGAGCATGTGTACAGAAATCCATATAAATAAAATTTGCAGCAGCAGTGAGACGTCTTGTGCTCATACAAATGCCACATATTTTGTGTTTCAAAATGTATAGCATAAAGAAATAAGCAATTAGATAAATTGATTTTAACAGAACTAATCTCTGGGTCTATCGAAAGCAGTGTTTTCAAGGAGTGCGCTCAGGCACTAAGGTAAGCACAAATCAACCAAGGTGACTCTACACCTTTGACAGAGGCGCCTTGATATAATTTAATAGGGGTGTTTTAATTCAACAGAAGCAGAGCTCTTTATAGAAGTAGAAAATAGCTTCCTTAATTATAATTTTGCCTCTATAAAAGTACATTTCATGTTAAAAATATTTCTTTAGTACATGATCTAATACAAGTAGAACATTTAAATATATCCATACATTTTATTCATAGATCATGATAGTCAAAATTCATAGCAAATAGCCATCCTTTCGTCTGGTGGTGCTGTACAACCATACCTGATTATATCTAGTTCGATGATGCAGCCTGAACTGGCTCTGCAGTATCTTGTAAACCACAAGCCATGTTTGCAGGAACAGCTACATCAAGCATTTTTGGATATGGAAGATTCAAATCTGTAAAACATATACAGTTACATGATGCAACAATAGCTGTACAAAGAAAAAAGTGGCCAACAAAAAAGTAAAAGAAAGGTTTGCTTACTTTCCATGATTTTCTCAAATGTTTCCTACAAAATAGTTAGAAATTGAAACTGTTAGAGATAAAGGGCATGAAATAATGACAAAATTATGTGTAAAGTGTAAATGGAAAAGATACGCATCAACGATATAATCGCTAATTAAAAAAGAAAAAGGAAGAAGAAAATTCAGATCCCAAACATCTACCAACACAAGAATCAGCCATTCCAATAATGTAAATGAGCTGAATTAAACTACGACTAACAAGGAGCTTTGTCCTGTAGAGACAGTTTAACCGTCCAGTGCCATTGGAGATTTAAGTACCAGACAAGATGATCCTCAAAACTTAAGCATGCAAGCACACACACCCAAAGATTATAATTCTTCCTTAAACAAATCATATATATGATACCTATAATTCCTTACATAGAAGTCCCTATAAAGAATGTCCCTTTTTTATATTGTACTGATAAAATGCCTCAATTTCATCAAAGTAAAAAAGAGTTACTTCATTGATTTTTATCAGAAGGATACTTTTACAATGGCATTGAGAAATGTTAGACAGTTCAGGGAAAGGGAAAAAAAAACTAATGTTGAGCTGTAAAAGAGTAAAAACATAGTAAGGAAGGTCGTTGCAATAAGGTAATTAAATCTACGAGGTACTCTGATGAACTGGAATGATTTAACAAAAAGGCAAAGCCTCCTATTTGCTCAAGAGGGTCAAAGCAAAGTGCTGAAATTACTCGAGTTGCATGGCCATTGCTATCACAACAAGCAGCATATATGTTATTCTTCGTGCCTTTCCCCCACTCCCTCTTTTTCCCAAAAGAAAAAACTACTTCATGTCCTTTTATTTTTTCCTTTTCAAATATGTCTTTATGGAATTTGTCCCAAGAAATTGCGAATATTTGTTTCTATTTGGTTGAGTTCAATGGATACATGCTTATTTGCTTCATTTTGACAGTCGACACACACTTGTCTAATGACATGTCAATCGCATACATTTACTGGTGAAATCAAAATCTCAGGAGAAAATTTAAATTTATAACCAAAAGCAGAAAGGATTATGGCATGTGTGGCCAAAAGAATCACCTCATCCCTTGCGAGTCTTGGATTATAGAGCTTCTCCTCTCCCACAGTACTAACCTGGATAAAACAAAATCTGACATTAGTGCTGTTCCAATAAAGAACATAGACTTAAAAAAAGAACTAACAATGGCTCATACAGTGAATCCCTTGTAATCATGAGCAGGATAGACTAATGTATCCTCTGGCAATGTAAAAATCTGGAGAAAGGAAAAAGAATAAGCATCAGCATCCAAGCTGTTTATTATTCGTCAAAAGCATAATTCTTAGTTCTTTAATTTGACATCCTTGCCTGTGAATGCACTGACTCGTATAGTTGACGTGAACTTCCACCCTGCAAGTACATTAATGAGATCAAGAAAAAATCCTTGGTAAAATGGTGAACTAATCTTGTAAACAGCACGCTGCAATTATTTTCTTAAAAAGCTTTTCATGGTTCTTTTATTATGAAACAAAACTTGACAAAGAAATAACAACAATAATGACAATAAAATTGGAAAATGCTAGGATGCTAGACCTGGAAATCAGTTCTCCCACATCCACGTATCAATAAGGCATCCCCAGTGAATGCCATCCTTGGTTGTGGTTGATCAGGCCCATCTCCTGTAACATAAGTAACACAACCCAATGTATGGCCAGGAGTAGCCCGGACCTGCCAAAAAAAGTGACAAATACATATGAACAGTTTGAAGTCAATACATGATGAACTTGGTTTACACATTGCTCATTTCCTGTCCTACTAGAAGATTAGGAAATGAAACCCACTGCAGCAAGTGGTGCATGGCCTTTGTGGTTCCTGTATGCCATGGGTGAAGCTAGGATTTCAACTTTGGACGGGACGAAATAAAAATATATATTTGACAGAATTAAAAGATGAGTAAAAAATAAACCTTCTTCATAAAAATATACAAAAGAAAATGTCAATTCAAATTAAAAAAAGTAAGGAAATTGCATAAAAAAAGTGTAAATTTCTTTTGATAAGTAAAAAAAACATCTAATTTTTTTAAAACATTATAATTCATATAGCATATAAAGATTAAATAACAATTAAAGTCTAACTAATAATTTTGTTTAAAAATATAACATAATTTGCAAAATTTTTAAAACACCAACAGGGCGATAAGAGATAAAAGAAGTAAAAAGAAAACGAAAGTTACATCTAGAATTGATTTTGCATGCAAGTTGTAAAGCAACTAAAATTTCCTGAATTAATGTGTTTTCTTAGAAATATATAGTCAATTATTAATTTATTAATTGACAAGATAAATTCACAATTTAAGGTCTTAAAAATCAAGTTTAACTAGTTTTTGACTTTTGTTGTATAAAATTTTAGAGTAATTGCAGTACTGTGATATAAAAGTAATACATATATAAGAAGAAAGTGAAAGAAAATTGAATTAGTGATTAGATTTAGAACTCAAAGTACAAAAGGTGAGATTTGTGAAGGAGGGGGGGTGGGGACATGTTATAAATTTTTGGAGGGGCAAAAATGGATTTTTTTTCTCCTTAGTTAAAAAAATCTGGAATAGTTAGAATCTCATCTGCTGTATATTATCTTTTTGTGTTGTAAAAAGTCACTACCATTGTCATTCTTCCCAATCCTATTCATTTCATAAACCTAAATTACTAGTACTATTTAACTTTAACAAAAAAAATTACCAATAGCTCACAACATATATACCTCAATTGTAGTTTCAACATAAAAAGAAAAGGTTGAAGAGTCAGGGAAGGATCTTCCCAAAGAAAAGGTCAATTTAATATTGAATTTCACAAGTACCTTGCCTACAAAGTAGAATTTATCTTAAAGAACACCTGAGTATTTGACTCAATAATAAATGTGCTATCCGCCGCTAAAAAGTTAGGTTTAAACCATTTTCCCCAAATCAAAAGAATTATCTTTTTCCATTGTTATCCCTTTTTATCCTTCTTACCAAAAGAAATAAGATATATCTATATATTTATTAAGAATAGCAAAAGCATTTATATTAAATAGTTTACAATGAGAAATTCACTAATAACATTCCTGTTCCAATCTGCCAGTGATTATAACAACACATTTAATTAATATCTAATAGCAGCATACCTCCAGAAACAGAGAACCAAAGTAGATTTTATCACCAGCTTCAACCAAAATATCAGCTTTTGAATTGCTTGCTTTTGAAATGATAGATTTCATAGCAGGTACCTTAGTCTAATACAACATTGATTCACGCACGTAAAACAAGAAATCAGAAAATTCACATCTAAATAATATAGCATAAAATCACCAAGTTATGTTGAAAAAATGTTCCAAACCTTAAGGAGTCCCGTTCCTGTTACATGGTCAGCATGAACATGCGTGTTCATGGCATAAATTAGTTTCAATCCCAGCTCTTTAACAAGGTGTAGGTCCCTCTCCACTGTCTTGTCAACAGGGTCGATCAACTGCCAAAATTTTGGGATGTTTTATTTTGGGTATTCATGGCATAACACTAACTTACAGTAGCGTTTTTGTTTTGAGTTTTTTAAAAAAAAAAAAAATGAGAAAGAAGAAGTAACTAACGACAGCAGGCTTGCGAGGGTGAGATACATCGGCAAGCAAGTAAGTGTAGGTAGAGGACTCCTTCTCCAATAGCTGACGAAACAAAAGCCCCCTCCTTATCATGGATGAATCGCACAACGTGGTGTAAGAGCAAGTCTTGGATGCACTGCTGAATACATGGTTTTGGAATTTGATTCCAGGCTTTGGGAAGGAGAGTGTGGTTTTAGTGAGGGTTTGCGGAGACAAATTCCACCGATTTAAAGGCGATAACTTGACGAGCCATGATCTAAGCGTATTGATTCGTAGCATGCTTCTGGAGCTCTCTCTGTTCCTCTTACCTCTGTCACAACGGCGAACGTCTATTTTATAAATGCTGTCAATGAGGCATATACACACCTAGTCCTACGATCATTGGGTACTCCCGCTTTATTAGTAGTTCATCGAATTAGGATCCGTATGAAATTAATAAGCTACTGCACTAGTGGCCGATGACCATCATAACACTAAATTGGAGTAATCCAGGATATTTCCCATCAAGAAAATGAAACAAAAAGACTTAAGGATGGTGGAAACCCAAGACCTTTCCTTTTTGGAGCGGTGCTGAAGCGGGAGCCTGGACGTGCTAAAGTACTTAAGATGACCCAATTAGTACTCCATCAAAGAATATGGGCCTCTCCGTTACGAAACCAGCATATCCATGTGGACAAGAGAGTCGGATGAATCGAGCTCTTGCTCTGCTGGGTTGGCAGACATAGGCAAGTAGATAAAGAAGCCCAGCTCAACTACACCTGGACTCCGAGTTCGTATTCTTTTGTGGTGGCGTATGGTGCCTTTCATTCCAACATTTCTCGGAACAAAGGCGGCCTATATGACGTTAAGATCGTCATATGCGACGCAAAGCATTGATTTGGATCGGCCCCTTTTGAATGAAGAAGAAAGGGAGGGATTTACTTGAAGCCTTCCGCAAAACCTTCCTCACTCTCCAGAACCGTACTCCCCGCCAGGCACTCTCTCTTGCCCTTTTATCGTCTTAAATCAATGCATTTTTACACGCGAAATCTGATTTTTTTTCCATTTTTTTTCTGTTTTAATTTGTAGATAAAGATGGATGCATCATCAGAGCGTTACTGTTACAACCCCATATTGCGTTGGAATCCTCAGGTGGAAGATTACTTCATCAAAGCCTATGGGTCTCTTCATTTTGCTCAAATCTCCAAAGCTTTAACGTATGATTCTTTCGCATCGACAGCAGCTCTAAGCAGCTTACTTTGTACTTTGGCTTCTTCCATTTTAGCTTAAGCTAGTAGTCCTTCTTTCTTTTGGGCTTTTGAAAGAAAAAAGCAAATTAAAAATAACATAATGCATACTTTAACCTTTTTTATCTATGGTTTATAGTTTTGGTCCCGTTTGATTGATAATTTTGCTATTTGCATTGGCCTATTGCCTTTGTGTTTACTATTCACTTCTTATTCTTGTTACTTTGCTTTCTATTCATTTTTTCAGAAAAAGCAAAAACCAAATAGCAAAAGCATCAACCAAACGGAATCTTAGTAATCTGCTTTTTTAACTGTTTTTGAATGGCAAAATCATATAGCAAAAACTAAGTGGTAAACGCGACAAAAGCAGAGTCTGTGTTTATCACGGTATTTTCATTCATTCTTATTATGCCACTATTCGTTTTTGATTAGGCATCCATCTTGCTATTCTTGTATTCGAGTGAACACTCTCAAGACGACAAGTGATGCTGTCATTGAGAAACTTCAGGAAATCATGAGAAAGTCGGGGTCTGAAAATGATGTTGAAGACATAAGTATCGAAGAAATTAAAGCAAATAATAGTATTGATTTGGATATGGCTGAGAAGCAATTGTGCTTACAAAATTGGTCCATCTCTAAGTGTCAGATACCAGGTTTAGAATATGTCGTATTTGTTAAGGGTTCTGGACCACATGCAGTTGACTATGGTTATGCGCCTGATAAACCTCCGAAGGAGGTACTTGTTAGTAGGAAATGTGCTGAAGCAGTTCTTCGAGGTGCTCAGGTACAGCATGTTTCTTCTATATGCATAATTTAATAGCAGTTCATTTTTTATTGATTTAGCATGTCACTTAAATTTTGAAATGATGGGTTTCTTTGTATTATGTATAAAGATCCTGCAATTGCTTCTTTATATATTAGTTAAATTTGAGGTTTATCTTTTCCCTGTATAAGTTATGAACAATTTTTCTTAACGATTCGAGAGGCCTTTATAAAAGATTGTGTTGTTAGTGCTCATTGTTGACTTGAAATTCATCCTCTGTTTTCTGATGTTGGTTTATCTTTAGGTATATGTTCCTGGTGTAATGGCCTGCAGTGCTCATGTTGAGGAAGGGGATGCAGTTGCAGTTTCGGTTGCTGTGGAGCAGCCTGCTCCTGATGGTGGATGGGGACTTGGTATAACACGTGGGACTGTTCTGCAGGGACTGCAGACAGGTAAGTAGTATATGTGTTGCTCATTTGTAAGTCATCATTCTTTAATATTAATGCTTTACCATTTTGATCATTTGGTCTTTATGGATTCGGGGGTACATAGATTTAGGATTTACAAAATATGATTAGCAACTTATTTTCTGATTTAAGTTTTGTCATGAAAATTTATAGCCTTTCTTACTAGAAAGATTAATTAAGAATCTATTAGTATTTGTGTTACATGGATTCGGCATTCTTGGGCACCATAGCTGTGTTGACTTGAAATGATACGGATTTATGTGCAGAATAAGCATCTGATATGAAAGTGGTTATTCAAACTCAGTGCATTCACATAAGCAGAAAATAAAAGAACTTAATCCACAAATTGACCAAGAAAAGGATAACGAGAAGGCATAGTGACGGATAGCATGAGAGGAAGTATAAGAGGAATTATTCTGGGAAGAGGGAGAGAGTAAGAGAAAGAGGATCAAGAAAAGGAGGAAGAAAAGATCAATAATAATGAAATGAAATTGTTATAAAGAAGAGAAGGAAGATTAAGAGACAAGAAGAAGATTCTAGATAGACATATGACAGATGAGTGCACATGGTTGGCTTTTGTGGCTTTTGCCTTTTAATTGGTTTTTAGGTTTTTGTTAAAAAGAAAAAAGACACAATTCAAGCCCATATATCATTGTTATTATGTCATCATAAGCCCATTTAAAAAATGAAAGAACAAAAGAATATCAGCTTAACATTGATTTTGGTGCAAGATAGGCCCAATTTGCTTTTACTTTTCTCATATTAGGTCCCTATAAACACAAGGTTGTATGAGTCAAATTGATTTTTCAAATTTTCTAAATTATACAAGTAGCATTACTATATTTAATACAAATTTATAGAAGGATCCCATATCCATATCTTATTTTTGAACACTGTTTAGCTGAATCAGCGATTTCGAACATTTTAACAAAAGACGAGTCTCATACATGGACAAATACCCATATAGGATACTCATGGTCAAGTCCATGTAACATAGATTAGATTGGAATGTATATAAATTTCAAATGAACTTTGTTATATATTCAGTTCAAACTACTCTGTTTTTGATGTAACTTAAAAGAAGGTCAACATGTTAATGCTGCAAATTTCACGTGTTGTAGGGAAACCAAAGAGATTTAGACTTTAAAACTGGTTGCAAGGAATAATTATGGTACCAGGTTGTTATTGTTACTTTATTTTAGCCTTTAATTTCACCAACTAAGTTGGTTTCGATTGACTTGTGACACCAAATTTAATCAGTGGCTTTATTATTGTATAGGTTTATGAGTTGCTTGTAACTAGTATTCCATGTCTATACTTTAAGAAGAATGACATTTTCACTTTCCCTAATTGTAATAAAGCACACATTTGTTTTCTGAATAGGAGTAGTAGTTTTATGCGTTCAGAAACAAAACTTATTCCCTTTATTTTGATAGTTATATTGAATCTAAAAACCAATTACTCTGTTTAAACATGACTGTCACCTTGTATTACAGTTCTTGTATTCATTTTTTGTGTTTGACGCTCATATCTTCTGCTGCTGCAACATTGCTAAAAATTCTTGGATTTAATAGATTATTTTACATTGTAGATCCTTATTACTTTGAACGAAATGGATTATACATTGGTCAAGGAACAACAATGTTGTCAAGAGCTGGGATCTTTCGTGCTTCTCAGGGAATTGCTGTTGATATGAATAATCGAGTATTTAAGTTGCCTTCCTTTCATGGTATAAGTCATGCCTTATCTTGAACATGTAGAAATTATGCAATGGATTTATGGTTTAAGTTCTGGATGCTGCTGTTTTCTGAAAGTTTGAATTGCTCTAAGTACTTTTCTTTTGTTTTTACAGATGTGCTTGAGGGGGAAATATTTCTTCAAAACCTGCCAAGCATTGTCGCTGCTCATGCTCTTGGTATCTATCCTATACCATTTTTATTTTGCTTATTTACAATTTTTCATTTAAGATTCTTTGTCTTTAAGCTATGCTCTGCTATGTAAGTACATGGTAGTTTCCTCTTTTAAGTTCTCAATTCTTTTAAGGTGTAACATCTCTTCAATAGAGAATTATTATGGAGCACTTTGTACATGATCTGGACTTGGAAATTAATCATTGATGAACATTATAATGGATCTTATAGTGATAATGAAGTGGAATTGAAAGCTATGAGTTGTGGGGGAGGGAGGGGGATTCTTGTGTTTGCTGTTAGTGAGCATGCCGAGCTATTGTAGAGGTTTGAGTTTCTGACCTTGGCCTTGGAACCATGGCTTTAACAAATTAGTGGGTACCAATTCTGGTGGGCTATATTGGGTGAGGGAGCCATAGTCCTATGCTTGGAATGGAAGTATTAATGTGGAAATTGACTCGTTACCAGCTGAACTTATTTTGTTTGAACTGGCCGCTGCAGGAACAACTTTTGTTAATAAACATTGTTTCAAGTGTCTTGGAATTTGAATTGTCTTTATTGGATTTGAGCATTTTTATTTTATTTATTTTTTATATCTAGTATCATAAATTTTTTTCCTGATTTATTTGTCCATAAACTAAGACTACTGAAGGTTTCAAGTCTTCCCAAAATGCTACTGGTTCACTCATATCATAGATCATGAAGACAGTGGAATTTTTCTGATTGGAAAAGCAAAAGTTTATGCTACTTGGATGGACAAGAAAGGACTATTGATAACATATACTCTAAAGATGGCTTACTTATTGGGTCCTAGATTTTGCAACGAGGAGTTCTTGAAGTAACCTAAATATTATGGGTAGATTGATAGGTTGTTATGCGAGGATAGCATTTTTCGGTGCTTGTCTGACCAGCTATTATGACAAAATATTTGAAAGACAAAAGTGTAGATATTGAAGGGAGTCACACCTCATTACTCTTTTTGACTCTTCAATGGTGATTGTTGACAGCTGTTACCATGGCTATTCTTGCTTCATATTAAGTGTTAGTTGCCCTTTTTTTTTTCGGCTAAAATGTGGTTGTTAAAGGTGTTAGATTTATCACTTGGAAAATGGAAGATCTGTCTTTTTCTTTTCTCTCTTTTCTGTCCAGAAAAAGATTCAAGTGTTTATCTTTTCTTGTCTCTCATATTCTTTTGCTTTTAGTTTTCTGTGCATATATGCTTTAAATTGTGAAATCTATGCATTACGTGGTCCTTGTGTATGTGCTTTTTTTTATTGTTTTAGATCCTCAGAAAGGTGAGCGAATACTAGACATGTGTGCAGCTCCAGGAGGGAAGACAACTGCAATTGCTGTCCTTATGAAGGATGAAGGGGAGGTCATTGCTGCAGATAGATCTCATAACAAGGTACACATTTAAAGCTAAATGAAATAGTAGGTTATCATCGACTTTTTTACATGTGACTTGTGTATTTTCCAGGTTTGCTTCATTAATTTGCTGTTGATGTTGTAAACACGTGACTGAGTCTGGTTTTTTGCAAAAGGAAGTTGTTGCAGAAACTTTATGCTTCTGTTGGGTTTCATTAGTGTAAAACAATAGTTAATACACCTTCTACATAATAGCTTGAGTACCTATGCTATTAACATCATTGCATGACTTATATCACCTAAGCATGTTACCTTGTGCTTGTCTTTCTGAGACTTAAAGCTAAGAATTAATCATCAAGTAAAAAAGCCATTGTTTTTTGAGGAATGGCTTAATTTTTTTGCTTGGTGTCGCAGCTCTTAATTTTCAAAATGCCTATTGTTTATAGGGGTGCAAAAAACCCTGCATCTGATGGTTTTTGTCCCATTCAGGCCGATAGGGGTGGGATTTGTTGGTTGAAAATCAGGGGTTGGGTTGGGTTTTACATTTGATTTGTAGCTTAGCATATAAAAATAATGTATTTTATATTTTTATTTAATATTATATTCAGAAATATATGTATTATTTTAATAATTTATTATTTGACACTAATTGGAGACATTAATTCAATAATAAAATGTAATTAAGATGATATTTTGTATTAAAAAATGAATTTTTTCATGAAATTATACTAAGATAAAATTATAAAAATGAACTTTGTTTAGGTTCAGGTTAGGTGCAGATGACATACTTTTCTAAAATCTTGGGTGGGTATCAAAATCATAACCTGAGGTTGCCTCGTTGCTATCCTTAATTGTTTATGCTTTTTATTGAGGGGCTTGAAAGTCATATAAGGTGAATTAACCAATTAGCTCCTAGAAGACATGACAGACACTAATGGATGGTCTGCGTTTGTCTAGCGAGGCCTCCTCACAAGGTTATGTCAGTAATTGTAGAGAGAAGTGAGAGCTTATCTTTCTTAGAAAAAAAAGAGTTTTGTGCAAAACGTATGCTTGTTAAAGAGAGAAGAAGGGTACCTTATTGATAGTCGAGGATGGCGCCTCCATGGTTGATAGGGACTCAAAGTAGGCTTAAGAGACCCATCTTATGTCAGAAAGTACTTGTTTAAGTATATAAAGGCTGGTTTGATGTGAAAAATGTGTTAGATAATTCCCTTTTGTTAACAGGTGTTGTGCTCAGCCCACAAGGTCTGTACTATTAGGGATGTGCAAACAATTGAGAAAACAAAAAATTGATTTGAACCGTAGTGTTCAATTTGGTTGGAATTAGGTTTTTATTATATTCGGATCAAATTCTAAACATAACTATTCGATTTGGTTTGGTTTTCAATTCATAAGGTGAAAAACAAAAATAATAACAATCGACTTGAATTGCATTTTTTATTAATTTTTAAATTTCTCTTTATTTTTGGTAAAATAAAAATATTATTTTAATTCTAGATTTTACTAAATAAATTTAAATTTCAAAACAAGGAATTGAATCTAAGTCAGTTTAGGTTTTTAGAGTATTCAGTTTGGAATTTGAAAAACCAGAATATCGCAAGTTAATTGAAATTTTTGTTTAGAAATCAAGATGTATACAGCTCTACTTACTGTGGCCAGTTCAGAGGTTTGTCAAGGCCATGTGAATTGAGGGGCTAAATATTGGGCTTGACCCCACACTATATGGCTATTATATTCTACTGCCATAGTACTTGACCCATAAACCTTCGAACCAGCCATAGAATGGACCTTGGGGCCAAGCACAAGACATATAATTGAAGGGGAATTATTTTCCACACTGTCACATCAAACCAACATTTATGTACTTGAACCAGTACTTTCTAACATAAGACAGGTACCTTGATCCTTATTTGTGTCCTTTGTACACCATGGGGGCCCCAATCCTTAGCTATAAACAAGGTACCCTTCTTCTCTTTTCACTAAGCACAGATTCTGCATAAAACTTCTTTCTTTCTAGAGATAAGCTTTCACTTCTCTCTACACTTATTGAATTAACCATTGGAGGAGGTCCTGTGTCATGATCCGCATCAACTCCTGTGATGTATAATCTGCTTTGGCTCGCTGGTCTCACAGTTTTGTCCCACAAAAGGCGTCTCACAAGTTGAAGGTGGTATGAACCTTTAAATGCCCAATATCATTTTAGCATACAGCCGATGTGGGATTCATGGCTCTCCTCTTAAATCATGACATTCTCCCTTGGAACTTCTCTTCGATGTTATATGTCTTCACTTGTTGGGAGCATATCTCTTCGACATGGGATTCACGTGGTTCCACGCTTGAACTGTGACATCCTCCTCCACTTCAACAAGGCCCACTGTCTTTAGTGGCACATTGTTAGTAACCCTAGAGTCTGTTTTGATACCGTCACAGTTCACACTAACCCTTGTAAGGTATTGTTTGTTTTGGCCCATTGGCCTAATGGTTGTTCCACAAAAGGTGCCTCACAGGTTCAAAGTGGTGTGAACCCTTAAATGTCCAGTATCATTCTAGTACACAGTTGATGCGGGATTCATGGCTTCCTTCTAGGACCATGACATCCTCCCTTGGCTTCCCTCAAGGAGCTTCTTTTTGATGTGGGATTTATGGCTTTACCCGCTGGGAGCATATCTCTTTGATGTGAGATTCATGTGATTCCACGCTAGGACCGTGACATCCTGTCAAACAAACACTGGCCTTCATTCTGGTGGTTGTCTTACAAGAGCGAGCCAGTCAACTCACCTGCCATTTGACTTTCAATCCCCTCCAGGGAAAATTATAAACACATATAATGAGGGTCCTTTGGATGATCATTTTTTCAATTTCACTTAAGCATATGATATACTGAGTTTCCATATTCCTAATAATTGACAATTCTCATATGAGAATATTTGGCTTAGGAAGTATAAATTCCACTACATACAAAATGCACAGCTTCTCTATTTCTTATTTGTTGATTGCTGTGAAAAATTTTCAACTTTAATATACTGGAAGGATGATGTCAATTATATTTGATTCTGGAATTTATGGTTTCTTTATTTTAAGAACTCCCATTTCTTTTTTAATAGGTTATGGATATTCAGAAATTGGCTGCTGAGATGGGTTTGACTTGTATTACAACTTACAAACTAGATGCTCTCAAAGCTGTTCGTAAAAGTAATGGGTCAAGTGATATGACCACTTTGTGCTGTAACAAGGATAACAATGATGTAGTTATTCAAAGTTCTGACTTGAGGCCTCTTGAGAGTGGGGGTTCATCTACTACCACTGTAGGATTGAATGCTGATACAAATTGCAAGGAGAATGGTAGGTAAATTCTGTCAATGCACATGAGAACATGTTTGTTTGCATTTTTTTGGTGGGGGTGGGTGGGGGAAATGATATGTAGTTTCTAAATATAATTTTTGAAGAATAGAGTATTCTTGAGATAATCAGTTTCAGTTAAGGACTGCCAACTCAATTTAAGTCAATTCATCTAGTATTTCCTATCCATGTTAACACTTTTTATTTATCCTCTTATTATATAAAAGGCAGTACAAGTCTTGGGGTTTGTGCATGAGGAGATTCTCTTCTTTGCCTGTGATTCAGGTCAAAAACCAAACCACTTATTTGATTATGTTATCTGATTGTTGCTTTCTTTTCCATTTGATTCTTAATAATTTTGATCTAATATTTTTCAGTTCACCATGTCAATCTCTGCACTACTTTGCCGATATTTTGAGTGCAATAAATTTAATGTTTGAGATCTAGAAATGAAGTTTGTGGCAATAGATCCTTTATTATCAAGAGTCATTAGTTGCCCAAGTTTGGATGACTCTGGTATTATTATAATTTCAAGTTTTCTATAGTAAACAAATAGTAAATTTTCAACTCAAGAATTTTTTGCATCAATGCGGAATGTGATTGCAATATTTGCTTTAACATGCATTGTATTCTTACATTTAGGATTATATGAAATTGTTCAAAAAGATAATGAAATCAAACATGCAAGGCTTCTATCTTGGTAGTAAATCATGAACTAGAGTTTCTCTTTATATAATTTTATGTTCTGAATCTGACTTCCTCATTATTTAATGCTTCCTCAAACATTTTTGTTTTGCATGAGTAAAATGCCTAGAGTTACATATTTGTCTCTCATTCTCAATATTTTAGTTAGCAATGAAAAAGCGAATGAGAGAACTTACGTTAGCAAAGCTGACATCAGGAAGAACATGCGAAGAATGAGGAATGGTCCTGGGAGAAATCAAAGCCTGGGTGGTAGAGTTGAGAATTCAAAAGGCTTCCTTCCTCATAGCTTTGATCGGGTTCTTCTAGATGCTCCTTGTTCAGCTCTTGGTTTGAGACCTAGACTTTTTGCTGGAGAGGTTGGACAATTTTGTTAATGCTGGTCACAAATTACACACCTTGTTCTTGTTCCTGGTTATATTGCTGCTTGTAAATTTTGTCTATTTATATGCATAGAATCTGTAGAGAGTGATGAAAATCTATGTCCTTTCTGAACTGAAGAAATGATTTATCCTTGTTTTAGGTGGCCTGGACCATTGACAAGGCAGCTGTTGCAAAACACACACACACAACATGAAACATACAAGTTATATATGGTTAAAGTTGTTTCCTTTTTAGGGGATTGATTAATGTGAACTATGTTAGAATTGGCATGTTGCCAGTTAATTTGTTCTAAGCCTTAGGAACTTTCTTCCATTTCTTCTGTTTTCAAGTTATGGGGCATGTCATTTAAATATTTTGCTTCTTTCAATTTATCTTTTAACCTTTAAAGCAGATTGCTATTATATTCATATTGCCTAGTTTTAATCCAAGATATTCATACAGATGAACTTTACTCCAAAATTATTTTCCTCCAGAAATAACGAGTAAACATTAGTTTCTTCAGTTTGATAAATTAAGTCTATGGCACTTGTTTAATCCTTATACAAAGATTTTTGGCTTCTGATTTGTTGTTGCTTCATGTTGCCCCTGTTTGTATTTTCATTAATTTATATTTTGGGGGTGAGTTAGGATAAATAAATATACAAGCAAACCTCAAGGTGAGATATGCAAGTTAAAGAGGGAGATGATGGTAGCAGATGATGCAATGAATTGTAAGCCATGAGAGAAAGTTAAAGAGCAAGTTCAATGATTTTGCATGTTTTAAGTTTTCTACTTAAGTCTGTTTAATTAAAATAGTTTGTTTAATTTATTTTTATTTTATGGAAAGAAATGAAAAACTTTTTCCTAAATCATTTTGTGTGTGTGTATGTGTGTGTTTGTATACAGGAAACAATAGAGACATTAAGAAATCACGGGAAATATCAAAGGAGAATGTTTGATCAGGCCGTTCAGTTAGTACGCCCTGGTGGAGTCCTTGTGTACTCAACGTTAGTTTGCTTTCTTTTCTCAATTTTATATTTATTTGTATAGATTATTAATCTGTATTCTTCTCATAGTTGGTACTCATGCCTGGGGTGGCACATAATACATTTCTGATTGGGTTTTGTGTGTGTGTGTGTGTGTGTACATGCATTGGAGCATTTTGCAGAATGCTGACAATATTAGTAGTAAGTTTAAATTTTTGAGGTAATCTGCTTTTACCGGTTCCTGAATATTATCTAGGATATGGTTAGTCAAGTTGAGTACATAACTGCTAAGTTTAGCTGCTTTTATTGAGATTTGTACCTTTTGTGCTAATGTGCTCTTCTTTTTTGTATATGCATGCAAATGTGGAATGCATGCCTTAGGTAAGTCACTTTGAATTTTATTTCTTCATTTCTTTAAAAAATTGAACCATTCAATCTGAAAGAGAAAAGAGTGATACATGTGTTTTTACGAGACTTAAGAAGGTTTAGTAATAACCATTTAAAAATTTTTGTTGCAGATGCAGGCGAAAGAAATTTAGTAATAGGGTTTAATGTTGACTTTAGTTAATTATGATAATGACTGCCTTCTGAAATCCTAGTGCATTTATGTGCTTTATGCCTTTTGATCACTGTGATCTAGGATCTAAATGATATAATTAGAATTGTCAAGTCTAAGTGCTATTATATTTTGCTTATTTTTTGTTTATTGTGTAAGTAATGAAAATGGTTAAGCTAATCTTTTCATGTTTTCCTACCTTGATTCTTTCACATATTTTTAGATGTACAATTAATCCTGGTGAGAATGAAGCATTGGTCAGATATGCGTTGGATACGTATAAGTTCCTCTCTTTAGCACCACAGGTTAGATGCTATAAGTTTAACCTTACAAATGTACAAACACATGCACATTAATTTTATGTTTTACTTTTTCATTGATTTATCATTAGCTGGGAAAACTCCAGAGATGCTTCAGTTACATTTGAATTGTGTTTAAAAGATTTACAATTGCTTTACAACAATCATATTATAAAAAATTTGGTATAAATCATGGTTTTATTATTATTTTTTATGTGGGAGTGCCAGTTGCTAATGAAATTGGTAATAATCTGTTTGATTAAAGGTTTTAATTTAGCTTTTTTGTTATACTTTCCAGCATCCAAGAATTGGAGGACCTGGTGTTGTTGGTAGTTGCCAATTCTCAGATGGATATATTGAGTAAGTCTTTCAACCCAATTGCTTGCCATTTTGTACCCCTCTTCAACAATTGAACTGATATGTTTGTCCCTCTGTAAAGTCCATTATAAGTGGCTGCCATGTGGAAACATTGGATCATTGATTGGACTGCTTCTGCTGAAGTGTGTGAATTTCTTGTTAAAGTTTCTTCTGATAAACAGTTATTTAATTTAGTTTATGGAAGATGCTGTTGCTGAATTTGATTTTAGATTTGGAGCATTTTGTCTGTCTTCATTGTTCTTTTTGTTATATATATATATATTTTGGGAAAGGGGGATTCGGATCTTACTCTTTTTGAGAGAGAGATCATGCACCAACTAATGAGCTAAATGCACGGGTGTCTGTCTTCATTGTCTTTGCTGATGCTCTCTTGAATGGTCTGTTTCCTGCTTAGTGCTTGAGTTTCTAAATCTATCCTTGTGATTTTCCTTTGATTTCCTGCATAAGAGAGAAATAGGAAGCTCATGTATCTTATGGTCTAATTTTGGATTAAGCATGAATATTGTAGGGTAGACATGAAGATCAGGAATGTATCAAAGATGGTCGGGAATGTGGCATCTGGTTGTGATTGGGTATAGAAATTCATCTACCAACCCTTTTATTGTTACTGAATCTAGAATACGATTTAGGAGGGTATACTTGATATTCTATTTCCTGATTGTTTCACAGCATAATGAGGAATCTTTTGTTGTATCATCCATTTTGTTTTTTTGTTGATTGTCCTTTTTTCTAATCAACAATTACTTGGTTGTACTGACATTAACAGAGAGTGGCTAAGACCTGGAGAGGAGGAGTTGGTTCAGAGGTTTGATCCCTCATCTCCACTTGATACAATAGGGTTCTTCGTAGCCAAGTTTGTTGTGGGCCCCAAAGAAACCTGACTTGCAAGTTTGCAACTTGGAGCTTAGGTGTGAAGACCATTGAACGAATTGTAGTGTTCTGTGGCTTTTCTTTTGTTGGTGTTGTAGTATTTTTCTGTGCTGAGAGCAATTTGCTGTCAAGAGATGAAGACAAGCATGGTCAGAGCACTCTGTTTACCAAATTAGATATGTGGTTCAAATTATTGTATCAGTTTTGTTTGCTGTGTAGAAATGATGGGATGAACTTATTTTTCATGAAGAAAACTATAAAAATCCAGGGAATTTGCTGTTTTGTCTCTAGCACAAGGAAAGAGGTTTATTGACAATGTGGCATCATGTTTCAACTCTTAGCTTGATTAGCAACTTGTCCGGTCCTTGGACGTCTCTCATATAAAGCAAATTTCTCCATTGTTTGCAATTAAATTAATGTGCAATTTGAGGCTTTAATTTTAAGTTATTATCAGCTTTAGATTAATGACCCACAAACACACATCCCTCTTACATAAATACATAGTAATATAATTACTTATTTAATTGTATTAACAAATTACATATTTTATTCATAATCTTTGAAAAATATTATTTTTGCTTTTTTTATCCTTATATCTTTTTAACTATTTAGCTTCCAAAAGTACAAGGCAAATGATAAAAGTAACAAGAAATTTTGACCTTTTGAATGCATAAAACTCAAATAATTATATTGTTGTTTTCCTATGTGGCAGTTTTCGTAATGTCACATCATAATTTTTGCTTTTCTTAAAATTTTTTCAAATGACATATATAAAGTGTTTTTAAAAAAAGTTTATATTTGATGTATTAATAGTGTATAATTTTTATATACTATCAAGATATAAAATCATATCACTTTATTAAAAAATAAATTTTAAATTTTAAAAAATTTAAAAATAAATACTATTATTTTTTAATGAAGATCTTTGTTTGCTCTGATGTCAAATATCACGAGCTAAAACTTAAGTCCAGTTTTATACGGACTTAAACTTTGAAAATAAAATTTAAATAAACCTATAAATCATGAGCTTATGTTCCCAACCTAAAAAACATGTTTAATAGATAATAGAAGACTTATGTTTATATACTCAAGATCCACTCTATTTAATGTGAGATTCGTGATACAATATTAATATATCAAATATAAATCTTTTAAAAAATATATTTTAAACATTAACCTTTTTTTAAAAAATATAAATCAACCAAAATAAAATTACAAGAGTAGGTTTCAATATGATTGAAATATTGTTACAAAATTTAATATTAAATCATAAAATAGAAAAAAAATAATGATATTGACCACAATAAAATGGTGATATTGACTAATCAGAATTCAATGCCCAAGAATCTTGTATCCATTTGATGTCCAAAAGGTAACAGTTTAATATCTTGTTTAGAGAAGGAAATTAAGCTGAAACTTAAAAATTCTCCTTTTTCCTTTTGAATTTATTTATCCAAATGTACCAAAGAACTACCCATGTCCATTAATGAAAAACACTTGGAAACTTGACGACTTTGAGCATTCCTAAAACTGTTAATTGGTTTATAGTATACATATAGAAAAGGCATTTCAGATTTTGTGCTAGTCCTGCCATAAACAACCATAAGCTGTCTCCTCCTCGAAGAAAGCTCTGCTGTACAACTGTGAGAAATCAATGTTACAATCTAACTCGCCCCTCCCAATCATTTCATCTACGTACCATGCCATTGTTTCATCGACGGACGGCGAATTAGGTGCCATCATCTCAGCCCAACAGTACTCCCCTTTGACTTCTTCATCAGTTCGTTCCAAACTATCATGCTGTAATTTATCGTCATCTGAATTACCATTCAACTCCATTTCTAGGGCATGAACTACCTGCTTTACCCTATCGTTTTCCAACACCCCGCCCTCTGACTCATCCTCTAGTAGTTCCCTGAGAAGTGCTGCATCAGTTTCTGTAACTTCTACTTCTTCCATGTCAGTAACTTCCAATATTTCAGATGAAGCTGAGCCCATTTTGATGATGAGAAGAAATAGATTTCGCTAAAGAAGAAAAGAAGTGTTGGTGAGGTGGATGGGCATGCAGAAGCGTTGGGACTTAAATAATGGGGTGAGGAAAGGCTGATAGATAGGCTTTTGAGGTAGCAAATTCTAATTTTTTTTCTCCAATTTTAGTTGATTATATAACTTGAAAATTATCAACATCATAATTGACAATTACATACACCTAAAATTGCCTAAAATAGTACAAAACACGTGTAGGGGCCATGGAAGTTCAGGTAAGGATTTATTTTATAAAAATTCGAAAAAGGAGGACTAGGGACAGATATTTGTCTGGATCAAGAGTCAATCCGAGCCGTTGGAATGTGATATTCAAGGGGTTTTACGTACGAAATTTTCATGTTCATTGTGTACTTGGACGGTTGCGATTGAATGATATGAACAGATGCCCCACTTTATCGTTTTTGGTTTTTGGAAATGGATTAGATACTTAGCTACTTAGCCAGTGTGAGACGGCATCCTTTGTTGGTTCACGATTGATAAAACAAAGAATGGACCACATCTATTGCCTACAAAAGCAATAAAGTGAAGCTTCTGGTACCCCACTTTTTGGCCTTTCCCATGTGAACCCACAGAAATTGAGATCCTGACACTTTCTTTTCTATATATTTATCCTGATTTTTAACTCAAGGTTTGGATTAAATGTTTAGGCTACAGTCACGGTATTTTCTTTTTTAATGAAACAAAAGAGTATGGCACCCTCAAAAGGGGTATCATAACTATATATATAAAAAAGGTGAATTTTAAGGTAACAAGAAGGGCGGATTTACCCTAGTCGTTGCCATATAAAAGAGGGTGAAGAAAATCCATTATTCTTATACCTTATATTCAAAATTCAAGGGTATGGATGACCGATTCACTGGTATATTAATTGATTTTCATATTACAATTATAAGCTTACAAGCACTTGATTTTAACATGTCTACATATACCCCAAGTCTTTTGTGCTTGAAAATCAAAACTAAGAGGCAATCACAGAGGTTGAAATTAAATTGAAAACCAAAACTTGAACAAGTAGGTTAAAGGAGACATTCCATCAAAACTTTTAGCTACAGCATGTATATAATATAAGAGTTTCTACATAAGATTTTCTTAACGAACTATATCTTAAATTGTTTGAGACAATTCAATATCTTAACTGAATTAAAATTTATATATTGAAAAGGAGATAATGAAATTTATGGAAGGAAAAAAATAGATATAAATAACCTTGGCCCAATAGTTTACTAGTACCCGTACAAATATGCAAGTTCGGAATAAATTGATGTGCTGACTTAGGTGCAAATTAAATGCAATCTAACAATTCGGTTAAGGTGGATGATATGGAAAGATAAATAAACCTAACTCTATAACCTTTTGCAACAAAAATAATGTGATTCATGTCATGTCAACTACAAATCCCAAAACAAATTGGTGTGTGAGACATAGTCAATTTAATTAATACATAATTAGCTTAATCTAAGCAATGACGAATTCATAAATTTTTATGAAAAGAGATTAAATGATCATTATAACAATAATAATATTATGTATATCAAGTTTATAATATAATAATAAAAAAATTAAAAATTGAGAGGCAACTGCTGTTTTTACCCACCTTGACTTTGCCCCTGTATCTACCTCTAATATGCATGGCACAAAACTAAACATATAATGACTTATTTCTAATAATTAAATTCTTTAAAATGTGTTTTTTAATTTTATGGTGCACCGTTATATATATCCAGTGGCGGATTTAGGATTTTATATGATAGTGGCTAAAAAGCATTCATACAAGGTCACGAATCGGGTCAATGATTTGATTCAGTGTAAAAAATTAATTATTTTTAAATAAATTAAATTACAATATAAAATTTTATTAACAATTTAAATATAAATTCTTAAATTTATCGATATAAATAGACATAAAGTAAAAAAAAAAATTAATCGTAAGCTGTGCTCGATGTGTTTTCATACTTTCAAATTCATTTATAACTAAATCTGTATTAATAGTTTTAACAATCACTTTATACGTATTTAATTTGAAAAAGTAAGGTAAGATTATTGAAAATTTTAAAATATTTTAATCACATTCATTTTTAGTTTTTCATGTTGAATATGGCATAGTGCATAAGTACTTAAATTGAATCAACAGATTGCAAAAAAAATTAAAGTAAAAAACTATACTTTCTAGGTAGTTCAGCAATCAATCTTTTACTCCATAGGACCATAATATATTATGTACAATAATACAAATATTCTAGTAAAGTTACATAAAAAAATTGAATGGTTTTTAGAAATAATACATATTGCATAAGTACTCAAATTGAATTAACTGATTGTAAAAGAAATCAAAGTAAAAAATTATACTTTTAGGCAATTATATTCTTTAGGAAATTAAGTCACGCTTCTTTGACTTTATAAGGAAGAAAAGGAAAAGATAAATAAGTCTAAAATTTGGGCAAAGAAAGAAGGAACAAAATTTGAGCAAAAAAAGAAAAGAAAAATAATTCCAAGAAAAATAATTTAATTCCAAAATTTAGAAAAAAATAGTTCTAAAATTTGATATAGGGATTGACAGACCTCCAAAATTTAACTTAGATGATTTACCATTATGCCAAACCAATTCATTTAAATCGAATATGAATGATAAACTTATATAATTGCAATTTTATATTTATAAAAACAAAACTAATTAAAAACTAGCCACCCCTCTACCTCCGCCAATATATATATATACATATAATAGTAGTAATATCTTAACTTGTGTCATTAAAAGATTCATAACAGTGCTTTATATAGACCGGGCAGCATTATGCAGCACTTAAGGAGTAGTATGGGATACTACAAGCAATGCTACTTAGTTTCGTCAGATACAAGGCATTGATGCAACACCAGTTGACTTACAATAGTTATTTCATATAGTTAGAGAGTACACAAACTTTTGAGAGGCTTTTAGAGACCATTTTTTTGGATTTACAGAATTGGGATTTGAACCCAATTTTCTTGAGTAGAGAAATACGTATTTTTTATTAAATTAAATGTTTGAATATAAGAGCTTATTTGATTTTTTTTTAGTTGAAAAGTTATTATGAAGTTATTATAAAAAATAATGACTTTTGAAATTAAGATAAAATTGTTTAATAAATTTACTTTTATAAGGTTTTTTATAGATAAGCTATTTGATAAAACAACTTATATAAACTCTAATTTTAATTAAAATGATCATAAATGGTATGTCATAAATAACTTTTTATTAATCATGAAT